GAGAGAGAGAGAGAGAGAGAGAGAGAGAGAGCGATAGAGAGATACAGAGAGATAGAGCAAAAGTAAAAGGGAAGGGGTAAGATTTTCATCCACAGAAATCTTGTGCTTAAGTTACCTTTTCAGCGCAAAAAACACGGGTCACGCCACGCAAGGCACAGGATAGCAAACTAAAGGCTTGGTCATGCCAAACAGGGCAGCTCAGCCCAATACAAAAGCGTTCACAAAACACGTTAGGTGTACCTGGGCGAATACCGACTGCATACGCTGTCCTTTCTGCCGGAAAAGTTGAAGCAGAGGAAGAAAGGTAGGTTGAGACAGAGACAGAAACCAAATCAGAACACTTCTCAGTTCAGTCTAAGGGTAAACCAACGCTTACGCAAGGTTAGTTCAACGATAGGCTAACGTCAGTGTCGCTGTCAGGGAGACGAGAAAGAGGATGGAGAGACAGGGTGGATAGACAGGATAGGATAGGCGAGATAGAGTAGATATGAGCAGAAACATTGACAAGAGCGTAGAGGAAGAAATAAAGTATAACTACCCTCAAAACCATGATTATCCCCGAGGGGGGCTCAACTCTCACGTCGGGTGAAAAACCAGAATGCTTAGACTGTTTTAGGAATATTTGGACTTGTCGTCACAAGACACATGTAAATAGGCAGAACACACTACTTTCACCGTGTATGTAGGCATAAAGCGTGGTTTTCGGATGAATTCATTTGTAGATAACCGAAGATTACCGTAGATTTCCAGGGTAGGTGTACACCAGATTGCCCGAGTTGAGGTCCCCTCTATAATCCCACCACTTCTGAGAAAATTACGACGTAATTAGCGGAAGAAAAAAAGGTCCAGAGCAAACTGACATTCAAGCGAGATAATTATATTGCAGCTTTCCATTCCGTTCGTGCCTCAGCACGCGGCCCGGCACACAAAGCGAGTGGCCATTCGGCTCGCCGTTCAGCCAGGCCGAGTAGGCCGAAGGTGACCATCACGACGAGCCTACACTCATCTGGCTGGCCGCCAAGCTAGCAGCCCATGCAACGGTGCCAACATTGAAGGCAAGGCAAGAAAAGGAAGCTCCATTAAGGAGTATGGCCCTTCAGAAATGTAACTGAGCAAGACGTGTATTAATGTAATTTAACCCCAAATACTGATAACTGAAACCCAACTCAAGGCGCCCACGTAATACTCACAAGCTCAGAGACGAGAGGAATGGATTTCCTCCGCGGCCTGATGTCCGGCATACTGTCGATATTGCTGTAGAAGGCATTTGCGCCAGGATGTCTGTAACAAACGAGAACAGTTTTATTATAGAGCAAAACTGAGCCGTTTCACACCAGCAGCACCCCAGGAGCAAAAATACAAATCTTTGAAGGGACCGAAGGACTCGGAAATACCCCCGAGAATAATGTATCAGGCTTCGATCAGACCTGGACAAACGCGCGTCAAGACGGACAATTTGTCAGAAAGACCGACCTCATGCACAGAGGCTAAAGCATCGACCCCTTGTCGCAGCATTAGGAGCAGTAAATCAAATGCCATGCTTGCGCATAGCGGGACATGAAGGCTCGCTACACCGGGGCAAGATAATAAATAAACGCTAGCATATTGCACACCATCAATGCTGCCCTTGAGTCCTACACCGATCCAGCCAAACCACCGACACCCTGGGCCCCTGCCCCTACCCACCGCTAAATCACTAGTGCAGACCGGCCCACCCGATATATTATTTGCGTCTTCCATTAAGTACGTCAATTTTTCCCAGATGTATTCGACAAACTACGGAAACTCATCGCCTGCTCATCGCCGGACTGTGAAAAATACCGTCGTAAATTTACAACAGTTTTGTAAACTCGAATTAATTATAATAATTTAAGTTGTAAATTTACGAGAGCACATTTTTTACTCGCCAATGGATTTTTAGTCGATACGTACTGCATGTATATTTACGATTACACATTGTAATTATACAATTTGCCTCAAGGAAAATTTTCCTGTGAGCCTTCCTACTATTTTTCACAGTGCAGCGAGACTCAGTGTGGCCCACCCCGGAGTAAACGCATGCACTGCAGGTAAGACGTTGCCTACCAAGCAGGCGCCATGAGTGCGTACATCGATTGAACTTGTAACGGTGGAAAGGAGCGTACTTTCTACAGTATCATTGATCGTGAAAAAAGAATGAACTCACCCGCTAGACCTGTTGTTATCGCCACCAGTGCCATTCTGTAACAAATGCAAGAAAATAAATTAAAAATCGTAATATTAGTTTTGAGAAAACAGCTAGGGCACAGGGCAAGTCATATCTAATGCACAGAGAAGTAGTACAGATGACACAAATATATATTTTTTATTGACAAATTCAACATGTACAGTTTGTGAATAATGATGAATGTGTTCGATGGCATTGAACATATTTTCTAGTTTAAAGGAAACAAGCAGAGCCGCGAAAGGTGCATTGATGTGCTGCAGAAACATTTATTAGACACATTTTAAAAGTGTAGATAACTGTTTTACTAGAATACTACTCTTATTTTACCTCTTTGCCTGCCGCTGCCGCCGCTGCCTTCTCCTCCTGCATCGTCTTTTCCTCAGCTTTTCGTTCTTTCAAGGCTTTAAGAAGTTTCCATTTGGAACCTTCCTCCTTGGAAGAAGAAAAGCTGTCGGATTCACCGAAGCGCATCTTGGCATTGGCAGACGTAGTGGTGGCGGTCGATCCTCTCCTGTCACCCTCTTCACTTTGTCCAACGCTGGTCGATCTCGAACCCTCTCGCAAAGTAGCGGTTTCTTCCGAGTCGCCTTGGACGGACATAGATCGTTCTGACGGCCCCACACTTATGGATCCATCGCGACTTAATGAGTCCGACCCTTGCATATGTTGCTGCCTCAGAGTGGAGCCACTGGAGCTCCTCCGAGACCGAGCAGCTTCCTCTTCCGCAGCCGCTACGTCAGAGTCATCTTCAATATCTGTTTGTTGTGGACTATCAGGCCCGCTTGTGTCGCCAGAAGAGTGCTCTTCCTCGGTGTGTACAGCCAGTCTGTCGATCGGAGAGTGCATTTCTTCAACAGGTGTGCTGGCCTGTTTTGGTTCAGGTGCTTCTATTACTTCTGTCAACTGGATTTCAGGTTGCACAACAGTGGTATGCTGAGGCATTTCTTCAATGTCGGGTGTCGGCTTAACCTTTAGCCTTAGCTCTTGCATGACGATAGACATTTGCTGTTTTAATTCGTCTTCTTGCTCGTACTGAGTAGCTAATATGGGCAGCGCCTCATCACGGTCAGTGTGGTCCAAGTGAGACTGCCTCTCCATCTCTTCAAGCTTTCTTAACTCATACCAATACCATTCATCCTCACTGTCGATACTGTCTTCTGTGCTTTGTCTCCTTGAGGACACGCGGGAAGTGCTCCTCCATGAGTGGGTGCTTCGGTTGTCGTCATCTTCAAGCGAACCACCTCCCCGGCCCAGACTTGGTATTTCGAGGCTTTGCTGGTGGCGGGGAAGGTAGTGTCTATTGCCGACTTGACCTCGGTGCATTGACGGGCTTGGGCTTCCCTCCGGCTTCTCCTGAACCTCAGGCTGCGGAGAAGGCGTGGGTGAAGAAATGACGGATGGCATCGGAGAGGGCGCCTGAAATATTCCAGGGGCTTGCATGTGGGCATCCATACTAGTGGGCGTTTCTGATTGGATTACAGGAAGCGGACCTAACGACGGCTGAGGCAGTATTATTGTTGGTTCTTCAATTATTTTCTTTTCCCTTTCTTCAAACATTGCAGAGTCATCTTCACTTATTTTCGGCACGATATCGTTATCGACGTGGCGACTAGTCCTAGGACTTGGGCCTTCATCTGTCTTCTCGTCCGATCCCTCTGACATTGCTTCACTTACACTATTACTACTCTGGCGCTGCCTATACTTCCCCAAAGCTCGAGAGGCAGCCCATTCTCGATTTGCAGCAGGAATTGTCAGCGGAGGGATTTGAATATTCTCTTGTTGTGAGCTTGTTTCTAACTCTGTGCCGTTTCCGTTTTGGGTTGTTTTCTTAACGTCACCTATAGTCGCAAAAAGGGATGATAAATCAGTACTGTCCTCTCTGCTTCGACTGCAGGTATCGTTTCCATGGGGAGCCCACTGATTTTCTCTCGACTGCGAGCGACTGTCAGCAGTAAAATCGCTATCATCCATTCTTCTAGTTTCTAAAGATGATATGGAGTCGCGCTTTGGAGCACGCATGCTGCTTCCCCTTGCCGACACTCGGTCAAATACAACCCTGTCGAACCCGCGCTCGAAAGCTCCATCGTCGGAATCTGACGCAGCACCCATACTCCGCTGACTCCTCATAGCCTTGGGAGGTGACCACTCTGGCTCATTCGGTTCTGTTTCCGTGTCAGAGAGCGAGTGCCGTAAAAGAGGCCCTCTTTTCTTTGCTCTTTGAATAAACCCAGACATTGTCGAGACGAGAGGGTGTCGTTTCTTTTTCCTACTGCCACCAGCTTGGTCTCCGTTCTTAGATCTGGCAAGAGTGAAGTAACGCATGTAGTCCTTGGACACCTTAGTGTCATCTGTGTGCACACCCGATGGTAAGGAATTTGATCTGTGGCGTTTAGAAAGTACGTTAAGATCTTTCAAATCAGGTAACCATTGGCTCACAGAGCTCATAGCCTGCTTTAAACTTCCTGTTCTCCTTGGCTTTTTAGGAGGTTTTTCTTCCGGTTGTTGGTGTGCTTCTCTTAATTCATGAGAGGCTATTGACAAATAACCCGATTGCGAAACTATTACGCCACTTTGGTTGTAAAATCTTTCCTCTTCTGGCTGTCTATATGTCCTACTTTCATAATCTTCATTTACATTTCTATACCTAAGGTCCATTTCTGATGCTGGTCTTCTTTGAGGATACTCAATTGATGAACTTGAACTAATTTGAGATCTTTGAGGTGCCGAAGTGGGTGGTGGTTGGTACCTTGGTATCCTATCCGACCGCGCAGCACTCGTTGTATGGCTGGATGAGTAACTAATGGTACCTGTACTGGTATCATTAGAACTAATAGAAGCCATACTCGGGTCGTAAGACAAATTTTCTCCAGTGCCATCGATTGATCTGCTCATCCACTGACCGTCACGATATGAGGACACCAAGAAACGTTCATTTCGGGATGAATTTGTTGGATAATACGACAAGGCGTCGGTAATGTTCCCAGTAGGAAACATGGTCCGGTACATAGCTGTCTTGTAGGCCTCCATGTTGGCGACTCCCCCGACCGCCCCTAAAGGCATTGCATTTCCTGGTGGTAATGTAGACCCGGATGGCAACGACCCAGTGGGAGGTACAGACCCCGTGGAATGAACTCTTGAAAGTCGAGTTCTTTTCTCCCTACTACCAAGAGGAGACCTAGTTGGAGTAGGGAAACCAATGTTTATAGAACTATGAGGCATTTCCGGTTCCGGTTTAAACGCAGAATATGATGAACTACTGTGGATTTGGCTTCTTGATACTGGTCTGATAAGGTCGGGATATTCAACAAGTGGTGATTTTGATATGCTAGCATAAAGTGATGAATAAGACGGCTGCCTGCTGCTACCGGCTATGCTGTACAGTGCAGATTGGTCCATGCTATAAGGCATATCACTGTATCCAGCGCCAGCACTAGTACTTCCCTTGGCTGCGTAATAAGACGGTGACGAATATGTCGAACGGGACTTCGGGCTCCCTGTCGCATCAACTAGCGGTGCAGGAGAAGGGACCATGGATAGTGACGCCAGATCGATAGACGAAAGTCGACTGGGTTCATCTAAAGAGCTCCCCGCTGCGACAGTCGTGAAGGCTGATATGTGGTGACCACCCGGAAGTAGTCCAGATGTCTGTTCTCCATAAGATGGCAAAGGTGATCTTCTCGGGGACGTGTGGATAGGACCACTTGCAAGAGCTGCATCAAGCTGCAACTGTTGGGTTTCTACTTCAAGATATGCATTATCATATGTATGTAATGATACTTTGTTTGTTCCACTTTTGGGAGATCCTGGAGATTTTTCCAAACTCGACCACCCGCTCATGGAAGACAAACCAGAGTCAGACTTTGCAGCAATGATATTTGACGAAGACGACTTGGACACGTGCTTCGGGGACAGTCTTGGGGATTTAGGTGAACGGGGCGTGTGGGGACTCAGTCTTCCTGGTTGTTGTGCCAAACTGGCGCTGAGAGTGTTTCTTTCTTCTTGTTTTTGCTGTTCTTCTTGAATCATCATTTCGATAACTGCACTATCATCTGCAGGGATTTCATAGCTTCTTCTGTTCAGTCGGTCACTATCATTTGGTGCTGGGGGAGGAGGACTTGAGGAAGCGTCAAACGAACCAGCTAGGCTCTCCGACAAATCAGAATCTATCCTAATACTATCTACATATCCATCTTTTCTAGTCCGTACACTAGCTATAGAAGACGTAGGCGAGCACACACGTTCTCTTGAACCTGAAAATAATCCTTCAGTATACCTAGATGAAGGGAGATTATCTCCTAGTCTTGGAGATGATATGCCTTCTAATATTCGAGACGAAGATGGTGCATCTGACAACCTTGTCAGCGAGAGACCATCTGTTAATCGTGTCGAAGAAAGACCATCCGTCAGTTTTGAACATTGGATGGGGTCTGATAATCTGGACGAAATGTTGCTTGGTTCCAGTGCGCTTGAAAGGGCAGTGGAGGAACTATACAGTTCATTCGCAGTCTTATTAGCAAGGGAAGAGCATGATGATGCCATGTCTCCGTGAAACAGTGTACTGCTATAGGTCGTTTTGGACGACGATCCATAGGCAGACGAAGACGATTCTAAGAGAGACCTATGTCTCGGTGATGTAGAACCTGGTGATGCTGTTCCACTAATACTAGCTAAGGAGGAAGTGAGATCAACATCATTTGAACCTGCATCCAGGTGCGAAATTGTCCGAGATTTATAACCAGATGTACTTGGTGAGGCACCAGACAGAAGATCGTCTCTCGAGGAAGAACTTAGTGTCCATGAATCAACTTGAGCTTCTGTACTTGTCTCCGATTCTATTGCTCTGCCACTCAGTAACGAGGTTGTGGCTCGTGACTTCCGCGGTGATTCTAAAAGCCGGCTCTTTAATTCTTTTAAGCTTGCTGAGTCTCTCTGGAGCTTGTTTGTCAGCCGATCTAGTTCTTGTAGCTTTTCAAGAGCGTTCTGGTCTATTGCACTTAACTGTGACAGCTGAGCTAAGTCGTGTTCACTCACACAAGGAGAATTCCCACGGTAATCTTTGTAGTCTAATGCACTGTATACTTCCGGTACGTCCACAAGTTCCTTAATAAGACTAGAAATATCGCGACCTTCGTCCTTTTTACTTTCTTCAAGTTCCTCAGCCTCTTCCCAAATCATTCCTAGCTGACTGCTTTGAAGTGGGGTGTTCTCCGTGTGCATCAAATCTTCCCGAAAAGCTGTGTTGAGACTGCGGTAGAAAGCCTCCCCTGGCAAGCCATAGATTTCATCGACCAGAGTGTCTATCGCAGCCGTCCCCGCTGCTGCAGCTGCCTCCCCAGCCTCGATGGCCCTTTGTTTATCAAATCCCCCGATGCGCGCGTCAGCGATGGCCTGCAGAGCTCGTCTGGCGTTGTCCAGCGGGAAGCGGTGAGCCGTAGGATCACCAGCCTCAACGGAGGAGTAGAATTCTAGCAGCTGCCCGATGACGTTTTGCTGCTCGTAGAGCAGCGCCTCCAGCTTCTCTAGGCGGGTCCACATACGGATGTACTCGTGGGAGAGAAGGTCGAGAGCGCGCCATGCGTACTTGAGTTCGCTCTCGAGAAGGTTTAGCCGAGTACCCAGCCGCTGCATGAAGTCGCCGATGACGAGGTCGGAGCCCGTGGGTGGCGGTGATGGTGACTGAGAGGTCCCCGATCCACTTCCTCTTTCCCCGCCATACAGCGCCACCCCCGCCAACGCCCCGGAGGTACCCAACCCAACCAGACTTCCTCCTCCTCCGCCGCCTGCTGCTGCTCCACCTCCGCAGGGGGAGGGTGCCCCAAGGGGAGCCCCAAGGGGAGCCCCATGAGGAACCCCAGGGGGAGCCCCGTCCCCTTCCCCTCCGCTGGTCCGCACAGGCTCCATGCTGCATCAGGTGGGCCCTGTGCGAGGGTGGTGCGCGGGGCAGATGGCGGGGTGCGGCGCGCTGCATGGGGAGGCCCAGGTTGGCCGCACGACTGGACCCCCATGAGCAAACTTCCGGCCCTCTTCTAAGCCTTCCATTGCTGGGTCCGGCCTGCAACAAACAAAAGAGAAAAGGATTAGGTCGTTAATTTTAGAAACACCTGCCCCTCCCAATGAATAAAGACTAGACGCCGATGCGGCAGTAATAGGGATTAGAGCGCAATAAGAATTATTATTGTGCTACCACACGGGCGAAGAAATATTGTTCTTCTACCGAATATATTAATGAATTAATATTTCATTTTCCATAATCGATCCAGATTTAGGCATAAAAAGGAAATGTTTTTTCAGACATGCATCTTTTGACTCAGACCCTGTTCAGTTCCCATTGTAAATCAAAGAGGAGAATTCTGTTGTACTATCCCACGTTCCCGCTACTAACTTGCCTGAGAGATAAGCTCGTTTCCTAATAGCGTCTTGCGAGGGGCTCAAGACTTGAGAAACGGGTCGGATTTCAGAAGCATAACGCAAAGCAGCATCCTATAGAATGAAGATCCAACTGAATATAATTAAGGGGACTAATGGCGGAGGGACTTACGTCAAAAATGTTAATGGAGAACAAAACAAATTTTCTAGAAATACTCGAAACGAGAGTTAGCTTTGTTACTTTTCAGAACGATACATTAAGGGCATATTCAAAAGGAAACTTCCCTATTCTATTCTGATTCTTATTGATTTACTCAACCATATACAGCCAAGTGGGAGGGGTCAGAAATAGGAGGGTGGTTGGTGGAGAAGAGGAGTACCATCAATAACCATGGCGTTCATAAATTGCATACATTTTTCTCAAATTAAATCGGCAAATTACGGGAGCTCGGCGCCTGTGAGATTCTGGGTAGGCCAGCCCGCAGGGCACGCGAGCATTGCAGGCAATATGTTGCCTAGCTACCAGGCGCTATCTTAGCTCGCATAGGCTCAACTTTGCGGTTTCGCCATGGTGAATGACGGGCGAAATATAAAATGACACGGGGGCTGTGGGTCAAACTGACGCCATAATATCATAGGCAGTGTCAGGGCCACGACATAACGGTCTGCCAATGTGCCCACCCCTAAGGCACCATGGTCCCTAGGGTATGCAAGCCTGCGACACTGTTGTGTCGTAGACCTGACAAACGGTGCGAAGTGAATAAGCAGCAGTGTCTGGTGTAAAACCACCATAAAACTAATGGGGACGCAAATTTTTCCGTCGCTCCCAAGTTAATTGCTGTGAGGTAATGAAATCAGTGAGGTGGTTGCGGCGGAAGAAGCGACATAATGTGCTCTCAACCGCACAGAGATAATCGAGTTATACGAATCGCCTCATGCACGGACGCCCGGCCCAGTAGTTTCACCACGGGACCTTCTTAACAGCGAGATAATGAACGGTCACCTCACAATGAGAAGAAAAGCTGAAAGCCATAGTGAATTTGCTGTGCCCGTACTGCCAACACTGCTTCTAAGACTGGAACACAGTATTTCACAGTGCAAAGAAGGAGCGCAAGAAATTGAACGATAACGTTTGTAATAACTGATGATTTTCTACGGTTAAAAACTGGTTGGCAGAAAACAATCGTATTCCTGTCGCCACACGTTTCCCCTCCTCCGTGGACTACTTTTACCGACTTTTACCCTCCAACTTTTCTCCTCGAAGCTGCGACTCTTTGGTGCTACTGTGCCCATCTGCAACCCTGAATCACACAACACCGCCCGGCCCTCTCCACCTTTATCTCGTTACGCCTTGCTCTCAGCCCTGAGGCGGACTTTTGCCATGTTTAGAAAAAGACGGTCTCCCTTGATTATACTTTTTAATTAATTCTGTGCCGGTCTGCGCTTGGCGTGCCCCACTCTATTAGTTTTATTATTTGTCACGGCGTCCACTGACTGGTCGATCCCATGTCGACCCTCGTTAATGTATTCATTGTGGGTGGCACAGCGAGGAGACCCCTTTACATTCCTCTAGTGGCCGCATGTGAAAGAGAGAGAGAGAAGGGTATGAGAAAACCCGGAAAGTAAAGGCAATGAGGAGAGAGGAAAAGGGTGGCGGAAGAGAGCCGGGCAGGGTCTGAGTTGCAAGGAGCTGAAAATCGTGGCGGGCGGCGGTGGTGGTTTGTGAGGCGTGAGCGCGGAACGGAACGGGATCCACAGAGGCTTTGGCTCGGACGCGCTCGGCTGCCAAACGCGCCACGCCACAACCGTGCAGACAGTTTTATTACGCCACTTCGAAGGGAAACTCGCCTCGTACGTTAGACGTGGAAAATGAAACCGTACGTTCCTAAATCTTTCTCGTCGCTCGCACGTTTGCCACAGCCGCACAGCGAAAGCAAATACAATTGGGAAACAAAAACAAAACGGATGGAATGTAAACATTCACAAACTAGCATCAGTATTTTAAAATTCTTTTTCCGGCGAGTCAATCGCGTTGTCTTTTCCAGGTCGATGCCTCCAGGGGCGGTAAACGAACCACACTCCTGCTCCGGAGTGGATATCACAGAGGCAGTCAGATTACTAACACCGATTACACGCCATCGAAAGGGGGAAGCCATTACAAACTCTGACACGAGACGCTTATCTCCCGAGCCACCTCCGCCTTGGCTCTGCCCTAGCTCTGCCCCGGCTCTGCCCCGGCTCTGCCCCGGCTCCGGACGGCAGGTCCCCACTCGCACTCCGGCACCATCATCTCGCTCGGGTACACACATACAAAGAGGGCAGGAGGGGCTTTCCGAGGCGGTGCGCGGGCCACCAAGCCGGGGGGCTAAGACTCGGCGCGCTACACCTCTCCAGGGAGCTGAGGCGGGCGGGGCACGGTGGAGCGCAGGGTAAACCACCGCGGTGGGAAAAACAAACGACTTGGGCAGCTCATCAACAGCTGCAGGAGACGACGAACATTCATCCCCTTATTAAAACATGTTTGTTGCGTTCCGTTTCCGTTGCGCACGTGTCTGCAGCAGAAGCGCAGCAGCGCAACGCTTAATTAAGCCCGTCTGCATGACGGGATGCGACTGACGGAAGCAGCAGTCACACAGAGATTTCCCTTGGGTGCGCAGCCAGCAAGAGAAAGCAGCGCCTTAGTCAGCCCCTGAGCCCGGGAAGGCCACGCCCCGCCTCCCCGAGTCACAGCCCACCAGGACTAACCGCGGCCCCGATCCATCTTGTGCTCGCCGCCCCTGCAGGCAGTTGGTCCTGAAACCGCAGAGCGCTCTCCTGCAGCGCGGTGCACGCCGCCTGCGGGTGAGGGAAGTAACTCGTGTTCGTAGCCTCTGGCTGTGGTGGGTGCTTGCGTTATCGGCCTCAGCCCCCCCCCCTCCCTCTCGCTCGGCTTACATATTAACCCATTTCTCTCTTTGCCACCCCTCTCCGCCACCACAACAAACAACACCTTCCCGCGCCCTGAGGGGGGTCTCTCAAAAGTTCTTGTCTCGGCACACTTTCGCTCAGTTCTTTTATCCGTTTGCAGACTGCCCCAGGCCTTCAAAAGTGCCTAATTAAGGTGTATTATATAACACCAAGGCGTTGCGTATGACTGCCACCCAACGGGCCGCGTTCCACCCTTTTTGCATTTACGACCCCCCAAGCTAAAAGAGGTGCACCCCCCACCCCTTTTCTCCCTTCCCGTTCGTTCCTTTCACGCTCCGCCTCCCCCATCCCCTTTCCCTCTAAAAGTAATCCAAGCTCAATCCGGTCGTACAACAAGGCCCCCTTCTCCACCCCCGAGCAGCGACAAGACCCTCGACTTCCTAAGCAGGATGCAGTCAGGTTGCGGATCGCCGCCGAGTTTGGGCTAGCCTCGCACTAATTCCCCCGCTAGCTTCCCTCTCGGCCAATCAGGCTCGAGGAGGAAAAGGACCAATGAAAACAAGGGCGGACAGGCGGTGGGGAGGGGAGGGGGGCGAGGCTGAGGGGCAGCAATTGGGTTATCCTGCCGGGCCGCCGCCGCTGCTCCGTGCGGTCATGTGGTTGACCTTGGGATTGGGGGCGGCGCGGTGAGCGGCAAGGCTTTAGCTTGAGCGCCCCGCTCCGCTTGCTCGCCCTGGTCATTCCGACCCCAAAACGCTTACGAGATGTCGTCTGTGAGTCGTCGCGGGGCCGAGCACAAGCAGTGGTGGTGGGGCGTGGCGGGGCGAGGAGGGGTAATAATAACGACCTTGTGCGCCGCCTAGTCACCATAGACCGTCGATAATCACCTCATCACCTCTTCCAATTACACCTCCCTACCCCTCTTTCCCACTCGCGGAGGATGGGGGGGGGGGAGTTACTCAACCACCCCTCCCCTACCTCGCCGTTACGGTGGGCAGCGGTGTGTATCGCGTCACGCCGACAATGGGGACTTGTGGTTCACGGGGGAGTGTGTCCCCTCCGGTGGGAGGGCGGAGGGGTCGCGGGTGGGGTGGCGTGGGGATAGCGAAAGG